GTCTGTTAGATCTACCCACTACCAAAAGTGGATAGCAAAGTCTCCACTATAATTGTATGGCCGTCTATTTTTCCCCTCAGTTTAGTTTATGCAGAGAATTCCAATTAATTGATATAGTCACTCAGCCACCAAGGATATGGAGCTACCTCCTCACTCTTTAATGATGACCTTGACCTTAATCTCATCCTGAACTAACCTCTGACCCTGACCTTAACTCTAACTTGGAACCTTAACCCTAACTGAATTTTCTTAGTTTTAATTCTCTAAACAAGAATATCTCAAAAGAATTCCTCCAATGACAGAAATATCCTTTTTCTTCTCCTCAGCCTACTGTGACTGGTAAACTGGATGTTTATCTTGTTCACTTAAATTAATTTGAATTTAAAAAGCCACGTGTCATTGGTGGCTTCCATATTTGGACAAAGCACCACATGGTGCCCTGTGATTAGCCTAATAGATAATCACCGCATGTGTGGATGACTTCGGATCCCTAATGCTCTTCCTTTAATGCAGGTGGATATTCAGAAACTATATTTACATTCTGATCTTTGGACTTGACCCTGAGGAGATCAACAGGAACACCAATCACCCACCTAACACACCCTTAGGATATCACGTGTACATTTCCTACAAAAGAGACCAAAGGACCTTGGCAAAGCTCCCTGGCATGGCTGTCAGGAGCGGGCCAGACCAACCTGTATCTCACCTGTGAGAAAGAGAACACAGCCACCGCTGTCACTGCAGGAACCACATCAGCTTTTTCCTCCTCAGGGGGACACTGCTGGACCTCTACAAATTCCCACAAGTGGAGATGAAGGCGCGGCGGGGGCAGAGCTGAATATACATCCTGTCCAGCAACAGAATATGGCGGTAAAACAAATGAAGAGAGAATGTCCTTGTACATCGTTCAAGGTGGAAAACCGGAATGCACAGAACTGGAGTGGCATGTTCTTTACTTGACTCGGCAACGACAAGGGAGAGAATGAAGACTTTACAGGCTAAAGTCAACCGCAGGAGGTCCTAGAAATAGGTTCTGAGCAATTTTTCCAGGTAGCCCTTCCAGTGACGTTGAAAATAAAATATGGGGAATTTCCTGGTGGTCCAGTGGTCAGGACCTGGCGCTTTCACTGCCAGGACCCGGGTTCAGTCGCTGCTCAGGGAACTAAAATCCTGCAAGCCGTGCAGTGTGGCCAGAAAAATAAAGAAAAGAAAACATGGTACGAAGAAACCCTTGCAGCTGCACTTACTGAAAGTAACGTTGTTTAATATCTAGATCACTTTCCACGGCAGGTGAAAAGGAATATGATTCAAATGAGTACCACAGAGGTATTCTCTCTTGATTGTTCCCTTGGAGAAGAAACTGACCATGCTTTTCTCCTTCCCATTCAGGTCACTGAAGGTCCCTGTGACCTTCTGCTGAGTGTCAAGGGTCAGTCACCAGGTCTGAGTCAGGTGGCCTCCAGGAGTGCTCCTCTGGCCTCAGGCGTGGTGTGGCTGCTGCTGCCCCATGGCTGGACCTGGGCGGGGCTGTTGGTCTGTGATGATGTGAGAGGTGAGCATCCTCTCTGGAGCCCAAGGAAAGACATGCACAGGGGAGATCTGGGCACCCTTGCAGGGTGGATGCCTGTTGTCAAGTGATTCCAGCCTTTTTCCAGTTGGAAATTGTTACTTAGTGCCCTAGATTCACCCAAAAATGTAGCTCTCAATTGTATAAACTGGGCTACTTGGATCCCAAAAAATCACACTGATAAAAATGAGGCCAACAGAAAAATTCTGGGGCATGTTTACATCAGATACGGGAAGTCAGCAGGCCGACAGGAGACCTAGGAGCTGTCCAGCTGCTGAAAATATGCTATAAGAGGCTGAAGGAAAAGCACAGGTTTTAAAAATTGCAGTAGAACAGCACCTCCCACCCCCCATAAGAGGTGCTCGATGGCTGACGGTCCTGGAGGGGCTAGTCTAGCAGGCTTGAGGCTGCGAAGCCTCCAGGAAGAATCCCCAAACCACACAGCCTCAGGGGGTGACCCTCCACGAAGTCCCTACCAATGGCCTGTTTGTGGTCGGTCAGACAGACATGAACGTCATGACCTCCACTGCTGCTGGGAACCCATGAGCAGAAACCGCTACAGTAACCAACGTTACAAAGTTTTTCCATTAGGATTTTATGTTGTTCCAACCTAAACAGGGATTTATTTGGTGAATGAGGAATGAATACATTATTTTTCAACTAAGGAAGATTTACTTAGGCAGAGCTTTCCTGTTTTGAATTACTGTAAAAGTTTTCAAAATACAGTAAAGAGAGTGACATAATGGATTCCTATACACGAACAGGCAGACTTCATAATTACTAAATTTTGCCACATTTTCATCCCATTTTTGTACTGTGAAATATTGTCAGTCACAGCCCTTACAAAATCTCACCTGTGGAAAAGCAAGCATGACTTCCCACAAAACCACAGCACCGTGCTGCACAGAAATTCCTGCATATGGTTCGATACTCAGTGAGGAGGGGTTCTCAAAACCCGCCATCAGAAGGTAGACGGAATGTTGAGCGTCGAGAACACGCCATGAGAAATGGTATTTACCTGGCTAAGAGCCTAGGAGTTTCCCATGAGAATCAACTAAAGAAGCACCACCCCCACGCCCCTCCATGTAAAGAGGAAAAGAGAAAAGACCATTCTTGCCATAGAACCATAAGGACCATAAACCTCAAATTACACACGAGAGTTTCCTTACAGCGCTGCCTGGGTGTTGTCAATATGTCCTAACTTCCAATGTGACCACACACTGATGCTTGGGTTCGTAAGAATTGCTGCACCTGAAACACTGCATCTCTGCTCTTCTTGTCAGATGCAAACCAGTGTGTGCAGCATCCTATACTCAAACAGTAAGAGAGAACGCTGCCCACCCCCCGACGGCTGTGACCTGCTCAGCTTCTGAGGACCCTTTGGGGGCGGCTCTCTCCTCCGCTGCTCTCACGGCTGTGGTCCTTGGGGTCTTCGTTAAGCCCGAGACTCGCCCACAGTCAAGGCCAAGAGCGAGACTCTCAGCTGCGTCCTCCTAATCTCCCTGTGCCCAGGCTTTCTGTGCTGCTCACCCCTCATCGGCCGTCCCAGCACAGCCACCTGCGCCCTCCAGCAACCACATCTGGCACGGTGTTTACTGCGCTGTTTCCACTGTTCGGGCCAAAACCCTCTGTGTGGTCTTGACTTTCAGGATCACTGCTCCTGGGAGGAAAGTTGCTTGGTGTCAGGGGCACCCGACTTCACCTTTCTCATCCACTCCCCAATCCACCCGACTCTCTGTGGAATCTGCCTGGGAACCTCTCCTCTCTTCACTGACACAGACACGCACTCCAAGCCTAGATGTGTCCCCCTCGCCTGCAACCGGGGCTTGGTCCCTGTCTTCTACTGTGCCCTGGGATACCTGGGCTCCTAGCCCTAGGGAGCTTCACCAGGGCTTTCCTGGCCCGGAACCTGCCCAGTACCTTCAAGGAAGCCAAGTTCCTGACCTTCAGCGTCCTGCTGACGTGCAGTGTGTGGGCCACCTCCCTCCCCGTCTACCACAGGCTGAGGGCAAGGCCATGGTGGCCGTGAAGATCTTCATCTTCTCCATCTTGGCCTCCAGTGCAGGCTGCTAGGCTGCATCTCGGCCCCCAGGCACTGCTAAGACCAGACGGGACCACCCTGAAACGGATACAGAATAAGACAGGTTCTGGGCGCAGGTCAAACAAAAACAGACTCTTAAAACTAAATCACCCATTTTGCCCAGATATTTGACGAAAGATTAAACTTCCTACTTACGCTCTGGTTGAGCAGGTAAGCTCTGTGTGTTCTGCAAGTTTCAGGGACCCCGGCCCATCAGTGATCAGGTCCAGAAGCTTCAGTCACCTTGGACACCTTCCTGGCACATGGAGTCTATCCCCCATCGTCTGTTCCACCGCTTGACCCCCCCGCCTCGGCCTGGGCCCCAGCTTCCCTCTACTTCCCGTTCTCTATTTTTCCCAGTTACAAAAGTCTTCCCCACGCTAAGGTTTTGAACCTATTTTCCCTCTTTAAGGTTTGTTTATGGCCTGATCTATGCCGCTTGCCTGACATTCACTTTTGTGGATGGTGAGTGAGCGGTTCCCATTCCAGGGCAGAAGTCATGGGGGCCCGTTTCTGAAGCCCCATGTGCACAGGGGTCCATGTGACCCGAGGGAAGGGGTCAGGAGTGGGGGAGTTTCAGCTTCAGTGAGTCCTCCAGGGACACAGGGAGTGGACAGACGCAGGTGGGCACTACTGAGACGGGACGATCCGAGGGCAGAGGTCCCGGTCATTCGAAGGGGAGGGACTCTGAGGCCTGGGCCGGGGGCTGGGGTGGTATATCCACCAGCAGAAAGGGCACAAGGAGCTCACTCCAGGCCCAAACCCCGTGTGTGATCTTTCAAACTCAACACCAGCCACGGCAAGGCTCCACCTGGCAGAGCCCACGGGAGCTGCCCTCCCAGCGGACCTGAGCACAGCCCTGCACACAGTCAGTCTCTGGAGGCGTTGATGAGGACCCAGGCTCCTGTGGCCATGGTCTTAACCACATCTGAACTTCTTCCCAAGCCCTTACATTTGGGGGCCTGCCCAGGGGCCCCCGGCAGAGGCTTCCTTACTGGGAGGAGGGAAGAGCTGTAAATACACCTCTCCACGCGACGTGGACTCGGGTCTCTGCTAGCCTCCCCGGCCCCAGGGGCCAAACAACGGCAGGTGTCTTTCGTTCAGGGCTCTCTCTGCAGGGTGACACCCCGATTGCTTGTGCAGGTCCACCTGACCCCCAACCTTAGCACCACAGGAGAATGGAACGGGCAGTCGGCCTTTCTCCTGCACCCCTCCTGCCCACGTGACCAGTGCAGCAACGCAGGCATGGCTGGTTCGCTCAGCTGAGCCCCCAACCAGAGAGGGTCTCCCCCCCTCTGCTGTAGGAACAGAGTCCTCAGAACGGCCATAAGGAAGAGGTGCTGATAACATCTGTCAAGCAAACGCCCTATTTTACTAAAAATCCACATAGACGTCACATTTTACAAAACCGGCATCCACTGGGATCTCTCAGTCCCTTCCCTAATCCAACAAAAGACAGGGATTCTGAGGAAGAGTCCCCCTCCACACGCTAGGGCTGCCCCAGGTACCCCCTAGCCCAGTGCATGGAGGTGGGGTTAGTGGAACCCACGCCAGGGTCCAGCCATCCTGGCTTAGGGGCCTGCCAGGACCATGGACACGCTCGCTGCCCACAGCCCGAGCCCCAGCAGGAGGGGACCCGCAGAGGCTGCAGCCAGCCTCGCCCAGGGCCAGTGTTAGTGATGGCTGGGTGTCCGCTCTACCTCTTCATCCTCCAGGCAGTGCTGCGGGGGCCGGGCTTTGAAGAAGTCGGAGACGTAGCGGACCTAGCAGAGGAGAGGAAGGCAGGAGCTGACTGGGCGGGGGCAGGACGGGATGGGGCAGCACAGGGCAGGGAGGGGCAGTAGAGCCCAGGAGCTGAGGGGCACCGTGGCGGGGTCAGTGAGGACAGCAGAGGGGGGGGATCTTAGGGGAAAGATGGGAGGAGAGGGCTAGGGTCCTGGAGAGGCAGAGAGAGGGCAGCAGGACCCCAGAGGGGGATCTCTGGTCAGGGCAGGGGGTCGGGGCCCGGGAGCTCACAGTGAGGCCGGCCACCAGCGCCCCCTGCAGGAGGCCAACGAGAACATCACTCCAGTGGTGTTTGTGGTCAGACACACGGGTGTAGCCCACGTAAAGGGCAAAGGCCACCAGGAAAAACTGCACGGTGGGCCGCAGCAGCCGTGCCCACTTCCAGCACAGCCGGGCCTGCACGTAGAGCTGGGGGCCAAGAGCAGCCGTCAGCATGGGAGCCTGCCCGCCCACCCCCGCCGGACGCACAGACGGTGACACTGAGGCCAGGAGCCTGGAACCTGTAGGCCCAGGGCCTCCAGTTTTTATCAACAAGCCAGAGCCCATCCATCACCACCACCACCCACCCCGCTTTACTGAGGCCCAGGGAAGGGCCTAGGCCACCACTCCACAACAAGCGAGTCACAGAGAAACAAACTCACCGCCAAGAACATCATGCAGTACATTCCAAAGGAGGAGTGTCCAGAGTAGAAGGATAATCTGAGAAAGGAGAGTGCGGCAGGTTTCAGGAGGGCCCACACTCAGCACCTCTGCCTTCAAACACCCCCGGCCCCGGTCCCATCCTGCCATGCCTCCCAGAGTCTGGGAAGATTTCAGGTAGAAACACGGCCACTGTTGGACACCATCAGTTCTTCCCTTTCCATTTCTCTGACAATGCGATAGGGTCTCACGGTCTTTAAGGCCTCACCACAAAGATGCTGCAGGCCCTGAACTCAGAACTGAGGGCAGACAACTGTGTCCAGCCAGCAGCTCCACTTTCACTGTGTTTCTTTTCAAGACTATTTTCCACCTGTGGTCACTGATACAAGGCTCACATTTTCTTTTTTTTGCAGTACGTGGGCCTCTAACTGTTGTGGCCTCTCCCGTTGTGCAGCACAGGCTCCGGACGCACAGGCTCAGCGGCCATGGCTCACGGGCCCAGCCGCTCCGCAGCACGTGGGATCTTTGCGGACCGGGGCACGAACCCGTGTCCCCTGCATCAGCAGGCGGACTCTCAACCACTGCACCACCAGGGAAGCCCCACATTTTCTTTTTATGTAATTTCAAGTTTTAACAAAGGACATCAACGGACAAGAGAAAAGATGGCAGATTAAGAGACTCCAAAGGTCCATCCCCCCACCCCATAAAAGCAACTAAAAAACTGACAACAACGGTAAGAATCAGATTGGTGGTGGCCGTGGAGGGAGAACAGAGCTCGCTTACAAAGAACTGAGATAGTTCGGTCCTGTCTGATGGCTCCCTGGATCACTGGTCGTAAATATTTACAGCAAATATAATGGTCACCACTGCCTGCGGCAACGGATAGCAGTTGCAGCAAACAGACTCACCAAAAAGCTTGGGAGGAAAGGCCAGGGAATGAGAAGCTCTGGAGAATAAGGGCTGGGATTCCAGAGGCCAGGGCTGGGCCTCAGGGCTCAGGAAAGACCTGAGAAGGCCCTAAGCTCTCACCTCTGGCTGACCAAGCAAGAAGTAAGTAAAGGTTAAGGCAGAGTTGTCAGCTGACATGCCCCAACATAGCACACAAAGCCCGTCTGTAAAATGGAATTTTTTCCCCCCGGTTCCAGGTATTTAAGGACCTATCTGTCCAATCGTTAGCTGATCACTCAGCTAACAGCCGAACTTCACGGCCACTCCAACTCTACAAAGTTAGTTCACGACACTCACTAAGCAAACCACCAACAACTACAACAGACAGCAAAAACAAGCCCTGGGGAGAGTAGAACCTGATTTCCAGAGTTGCTACATTATAACATTTAAAATGCCCAGTTTTCAACAACAACAACAAAATTATAAGGCATGCATGAAAAAATGCGGGAAGTACCTAGGGAAAAAAAAATCTATTACTAGAAGCTGTCCCTGAGGAAGCCCAGATGTTAGACTCACTAGATAAAGACTTTTAGTCTGCCATTTAAAATATGTTCAGAGAGCTAAAGGGACTGTGAGAATGATGTCTCACCTAACAGAGAACACCAAAAAGAAACAGAAGTTATAAAAAGGAAACAAATAGAAATTGTGGAGTTCAAAACTACAGTATCTGAAATAAATCACCCGACGGGCTCAAAAGCAGATCTGAGCAGGCAGAAGCGTGTGTGAACATGGAGATAGGTCAATCGAGACTTTTGGTCTAAGGAACAACAACAACAACAAAAAGAATGAAGAAAAATGAATGAACCGCAGAGCCTTGTGGGACACCATCAAATGTACCAACATATATACATATAAGAGTCTCAAAAGGAGAAGAGAGAAAGCGGCAGGAAGAATACTTGAAGAATATTTTCATCAAATGAAAAACATCAATCTACATATCCAAAAAGCCCAATGAACTTCAAAGAGGATAAACTCAAAGAGAGCCACAAAGAGACACAGTATAATCAGGCCACCAAAAGACAGTCAAGGAGAAAATCTTGAAAGCAGCAAGAGAAGGCATTCATTGTGTACGAGGAATCCTCGGTAAGATTAGTAGCTCATTTCTTATCAGAAACCATGGAGGCCAGAAGGATGACATACTCAAAAGTACTGAAAGGAAAAAAACCCCTGTGAATCACGAATTCTACATCTGGCAAAATGATCCTGTAAAAATAAAGGAGAAACTTAGACATTCCCAGACCAACAAGAACCAAGAAAATTCATAGCTCATACACCTACAAGCTCTACAAGAAATACTAAAGGGAGTCTTTCATGGAGGAATGAAGGGTACTAGACAGTAACTCAAATCCACAAAAAGACCCGTAAAAGTCACCAGTAAAAGTAAATACAAAACAAAAACAGCAGTGTTAACGTATTTTAGTTTATAGTCCTGCTTTTCCCTACGTGATTAAAAAAAGAAAAAACAACTGCACATAACTAAACTTACTGGATCATTCCACAATAAATGCAAACATCTCATCATTATGTTGTACACCTGAAACTAACATAACGTTATGTGGCAAATATAGCTCAATTTTCTAAAAACCACGTAAAACAGTAATTACAAATATATGTTGATAACCACACACTGTATAAAGATATAATTTGTGACAATAACCTCGTAAGGGGGCGGGGGTGTGTGTGTGTGGAACTATATAGCTGCAAATTCTTGGCAGAGTAAATACCTATTAACAGAAAAGGCAGTAATGGAGAAATTGAAATACAAACAAAAAAGATACAATATACACAAAACAAACAACAAAACAAAAAGCATTACATAGCGAGAAAAGGATCCATCCATTAAGAAGGTATAAAAATAACAATTACAAAGATATAAGCACCTAACAACAGAGCCCAAAATACAGGAGGCAGAAGCTGACAGAAGCTTAAGATGGTTAAATTGGTGAATTTTATACTTTGTGAATTTTAATCTAATTTTTAAAGAAGGAAAATAAGGACATCAATTAAATGAAAAGTTTACCAGTAGAGATGGTGAGAGAACAGAGCAGCAGCGTGAGGATGGGGCCTGAAATTTAGGGGAGGTGGGTCACTCCTCCTGAAACCTCCTGCTCTGCTCCAGGGCCCGACACGCCTGGCGCCACCTCACCTCCCCGCCTGCAGGACACAGGCCCACGGGCACCTGCAGGCCTTGCTCCTGCCTGTTCTCTGCCCAGCGTGGAGCCCCTGTACCTTCTATACCTGACAACTCATCCCTCAATATCCAGCTCCCGAGGGCCCTTCTCCAGCCCCCCACTCTCCTCCCCGGGTGGGGTGTCTGCGGCCCGGGCCCCCTGCAGCACCTACCTGGACTCGGTGACGTCAGCAGGCCTTCCCCTGCACACCTCCACCTGCACGTACACGGAGCAGTTGACGCGGCTCCAGTCAGGGTCACACACGGCCAGGAAGTTGGGCCGCAGCCGGCCGGTCATGTACTTGGCCAGGTCTGTCAGCGACTGGCTCACTGCAGCCCCGAACAGGAACGCCCCCAACACCTTGTAGAGGGCGGCCAGGTAGTTGTTGAAGTCGGAGCGGGAGTAGAGGCGGTCTGTGTACACCAGGTAGGCCTCCCCGGCCGACACCTGCAGGGAACAGCCGGGGACTTCAGGGCCGCTGAAGAAAGGGGTCAGGGTGCGCGGCCTCCCTACGGTCACTGGGGGGCTGGGAACTCCAAGGGGGCCCTCTTCCCCGCAGACACCACCCTGGGCAGGACTCGACCTGCTAACGCCCCAGCCCTCCGCCCTCCACGCCCCTCCTGCCTTACAAGTATGATGGTGGTGGTGATGATGACCCCGGCCATGAGCCCGTGGGTGATGGTGTCTGGATGGTAGGGGTACCGGATGGAGTCATCTCCGCAGTAGAATCCTCGCTTGTACGGGGCGTTCACGAGCGTCAGGATGGCGGAAGGCAGAGAGGCTGGGGTTGGGGAGAGGAGGCCGGTAGCCACGAGGTTCTCTGAGCCCCAGGGCCACACGGACGAGCCTGCGCCAGCACCGAGCGCTTGGACGCCTGCCTCAGCCTCCCTCCGGGTCTCCGAGCCCTCCCGAGAGCTAGGAGGAGCTTTTCTCACAGCAAATGGGAGGTCACTGCCCCATTAAACCCCCTTGTGGTTCCCCATCACCATCAGATAAACACCAACGTCCTGCCCAGACCCAGTGTCCACCCCCCCAACGTCGCCCACCCTCTCCCCGCCTCGCTTCCCTCAAGCCTCCTCTCTGCCCTTTGCACGAAGCCAGCAGGCAGCCACCAGGGCCTCTGCTCACATCCTTCTCGTGGCCCAGAACATCTCGAACTCCCTTCCGTGCTCCTGGGAGCCCTCTCACGGCAGGAAACTTCCGTTCTTCATGGTTCTTGCCTGTGTGCAACTGTGCAATCACCGTGTGATACTCGAATGATTCTCCCAGCTACACACAGCGCTCTGTGAGCACCGGGGGTGGGGGTGGGGGTGGGGGCCGCGCCTGTCGTGGTCAAGGCTGAGTCCCTGGAGCCTGCTGGGGCCTGGCCAAGGCCAGTGTTTAACAGGCATCTGTTAAAAGGAGGACACTCTGCTCCTTGTCCTAGGGCCGGCCAGAGAGATAAGGAACACACCTCATCCACGTGTTGTCCCTGAACCGGCCACATGGTGACCCGACAGGCCCGGCCCAGGCCCCGGGAGCTCAATCCAAAGGTGCTTTCAGGAGCCACAAGTCATGACCGGGCCCTGCCTGGCACGGCCGCAGCCCCGGAATCCAGAGGCCCCGCCAGCCAAGGGTGACCAAGGGCGGCTGGGGCACAGGGCTCCCTGCTCCCCAGGGTGGGTGCACAGAGACAAACCCAGGCAGGGTGCCCTTTGGCCTTGGCAGGGCAGGTGACACGTGGAAAAGGGTGTGGCTCTGCTGGGGCCTGACAACCAGAGCAGGGGGAGGGCAGGGCCAACTCCTCCTTCCAAAGGCCAAATTCAAGGGCCTCCGGGACCACCGTGTGATGGTGCTGATGTAGGGAAAGACTCGGTGAAGAACACAGAGATCTGCCTCATGGAGCTGAGAGCAACTGGGAATAAAAATAATACGCACACGATGACCGGAATCGGGGAGGTGGCTGCGGCCTTCAGTAGGGTGTCGCGGAGGCCACACAGGGAAGGTGCCTTAAAGGAAGAAGTACAGGGGAGACCTGGGAAAGAACATCCCCCAGAGGGGTGGCCAGTGCCAAGGCCGGAGATGGGCCTGAGCCTGGAGAGCAGAGCGCTGGGGAAAGGGGCTCTGCGGCAGGGGCGGGGGTCTCAGGAGGGTTGCAGCAGAGGGAGGGAGAATGTTTCCAAAAGACCTCTCTGGCCAGGGTGGAGGCCTAGGAGGAGAGGCCGAGAAACCCCACGGCCTGAGCAGAGCAGGGGCTCCCATGGGGGCCCGGGCATCGAGTCAGCCCCCCAACTCCTGTCCCCAAGCCCCAGCCCTCCCCGCTGGAGATTCGGGCACCCCCGATCAGAACTGGAGCTGGGCTCTCCCGGGATTCAGGGCACAGAGCTCAGAGCACAGGAATGGCGCCTCCCTCTGCCTGGGCCGCACCAGCTCAGATGTCCCCACGGTAGACACCACCAGAGCCTCCCTGCCCTGGTGTCAACCCCTGGTGTTTTCCCCAGGGTCCTTGTCACCATCTAAGACTGAACTGTTTTGTGTCCTGAAGCTTCTAGACTGGGAGCTGGCTCTGCCCGGGCCCCCAGCACCTGGCACCTGGCAGCTGCACCCAACCCCCCTCCCCCACTGCTGTGTGACCTCCAGCGGGCACCTGAACATCTCTGGGTGGAAACTGGGGAGCATAACAGCACTCCCTTATAGGCTGATTGGAGAAAAAGGTTTAATTATTTTGCAGGCTGCTTAGTGCCTGACATACAGTCAGTGCCACACAAATGTTTAAATAAATAAGTGCTCAGGAAACGATACCCAGGGTTGGCAGATGCCCCCCGGGGACCTCCAGTTGCCACCTGGCGCATCCCAAAAGGGTCTCTTCTAGGACATGGGAGGAGAGCCTGGCCTCTGCCTGTAGTCAGGGCAGACCCCTCGGTCCCCAGCGGAGGAGCAGCAGCCTGACTGGGGGTAGGGCAGTTTAGGCTGGAGGGGCCCCTCCCTGCGCGGGGGGTGGGGGGGTGGGTGGGGGTGGGGGTGGTGTAGAATTCCGGGGCCATTGTCCGCACAGCCCCGGAGCAAACACACAGCCTTTGTTTCCGGGACCCTGGAGGAGGGGCGGGGAGGGGGCCTCTGCCCCCAGCTTGGGCCACAAACCCGCCCGACAGGTTTGGCCCGCGCCACCCCGAGGCCTCCAGTTCCACAACAGCCTGCGGCCCAGTCCTTCTCCCGGCTCTCCTGGGCCCGAGCGAGGAGGGCGACGGGGCGCGGGTTCGAATCCCACCACTGCCCGTGCGCCCCGGCCAGGGCTCCGCCCTCCCAGACCCCACTGGACCAGCCGACCCAAGGTGCGGGGTGGAGGGCCTCCCAGGGCGACCCGCGGCCGCGCCCCCCGCCCGTCTCGCCCGAGCCCAGCCGACGCCCGCGTGAATCACCGCCCAGGCCGGGCCGGGCAGGGCGGGAGGGGAGGCGTGGGGGGCCCCCGGCAGCGACTTCCTGCTGCCGCGGGCGGGGGACACCGACCCCCTCCGACCGGGGATGCGCGGGGGAAACTGAGACCTGAGAGGGCGCGCGCGAGCGCCGGGGCACGCGGGGCGGGGGCGCGTTGCTCGATCCGCGGCCCGAGGGTCCCCCCCCGGCTCCCCCCACCTCCAGGGGGCCTCCGAGAGATAGGGCCGCTGCAGCCCCGGGGGCCGCTGCAGCCCCCAGCCCGGGGATGGGCCCGCCTGGGAAAGGGTCCTCACACACACACCCGGGTCCCCGCGGCTCTTACCGACCAGCACGCACAGCACGTCGAGCAGCACGAAGACCCACCTCCGCTCCATGCTGCCCGCGACCCCCGGCGCCCGTCCCAGCGCGTCCCGTCGCGTCCCAGACGGGCCGCGGGGTCACATGGCCGGGGAGCCTGGCCCAACCCGGGAGGGGCGGGCAGGGCAGGGGAGCGGAGGGCGGGGCGGAGCCTCCGAGGGGAGGGGCGGACTCTGCCTCGGCCCCGCCCGAGGCGCGCGGGGAGGAGGGACGTGGGGAGCGCGCGGGGATGGCAGGGGAACAGTGTCGGTACGAGACCCGCGGCAGGAGGGGCCGCGGGTCTCCGAGCTGGCGGAGGGGGGTCGTCGGTGCCCAGCATTTTCCCCGCCCCCCGCCGGGAGGCTAAGGCTCAGGGACGGCTAGTCCGGTGTCACCCCAGAGCGTCCGCGTCCGGCCGCACGCCCCGGTCACCCACGGATTGGGTCGGCTGAGTCGGGGGTCAGGAGAAGGAACGAACAAACGAAGGAATGAGTGAGGGGTGAACGGACAGGCCAGCAGGAAGGGGTGTGGAGGAGGACGGAGCTCGGGCACCCGCAGGCTGCGCCTCGGTTTCGTCTTTGGGGCACTGAGCTCCTGTGTGCCTGTCTGAATACGTCTGAATCAGGAAGTGCCTACAAATAGATGGGGGGTGTCACGGCTTAACTGCAGGGGTTTTTTTCTTTCCTCCTGATGCTTAAAATCCTTGCAGCCCTTCCATCCCTGGCATTGTTAAGAAAGTTCCTCAACGCCCACCCTGCTTGTGCCAGGCCCTTCTCCTGGGTGGCACACTTCCTACCCCCTTTTACAGGGAGCAAATCGTGCGGGCGGTAGGAACTTGCCCGCACGCTAGGAAGGGTAGGGTTAGGGTCTGTGCCCTGCACGCCCACGCGGTCCCGAGGCAGCCCAGAGCTGGGAGGCGCAGGAGGTCCACACACGCACACGGGATCCTTGGGGCTGGAACCAAATGAGAGGCCTCGGGGCGTGTCACCACCTCCTGGAGAGCCCTGCCTGGACCTGGCGAGACACAAGGGAGGTTCTGCCACTCTCTCAAGGTCACACAGTGGCAAGAGGCAGGGCTGGGGTTTGAATCCAAGCAGCCTGGCCCCAGCCCCACCCCCAAACCACGTTCACCGGCCCACCCTCTCCAACAATCTTAAAACAGAAAGATGTTTCCCGGCTTTATTTTAGAGATGAAGGAAGCCGCTTCCAGAGAGGCATGCCCTGGCCCAAGGTCAAGCAGCTGAGACGTGAACTCAGAGTCCCTGACCCTGCTTCCTGGGAGGATGAACAGACGCCTGCACCGTGGGGGGAGTGAGGGTTGGGAGAGAGCCAAGGTATTTGGGGGGGGGCGACAATGCACAGCTGATCTGTGGCTCCTCCACCATTGGCCAGACTGTGGGGTTGAGGGGGGTGTCTCTGGGCCGAGGCCCCTGAACCCCGGAACAACTTTCCCTAAGCAGGCCATCAGACACCGCCCCCCACCCACCCACACACACTCAAAATAACTCAGCCCACCCCCAGGACATAACAAGGTTCTGCATGGAAGCTGATGGACCTGGATTTTCCGCCTGCAGCGTGGCGGAGACAGTGCGGGAAGCACATTCCAGCAACCCCCCCTTTCCAGCCGCACAGCCTGAGGAGTTGGGAAGGCACATCCTAAAAATGCAGCTTCCTCCCTCACCCCCAGACTTCCTCCAAGGCGTCCAGAAGAATCAGATTACTTGCCCGGAAGATTTTTCTCTGTCTGAGCAGGGGTGGGGCTGTCGCCAGGGACCAGTTTCAGGCTCAGGGGGATCCAGCAGCCCTGGACTCCTTCCTGCCAGTGTGGCCCCGCCCCGGGAAGGCTCCGGCTCCGTCCACTGGGTCCTCCTGCTGTAATCACAGGGAGGGGTGGGCCCTGTCATTCATTCATCCCTTCATTCATTCATGCAACGGAATTATACGTGTGAAGGTACCTGGCATACATGTTACGTGACTGTTAGCCGGCGTCATTATCATGGCACTTTCTTCACTTCAGCCTTGTGGCAATCGGATGACTCCTCTCTGTGTAGTCTTGACACTTTCAGTTTAGGTAGGGAAGGTGCAACATGATACTGGCATCAATGAAATGTGGGCTTCTTTATTAAGCACCTACTGCGTGCCGGGCGGGGCCAGCCAAAGAGGAGTGTGGTGGGGCCCGGCCTGGGTGGAGACCGTGGGGTTCTTGAACCCAGGAGGCTCCAGGGGAGGCTCCCGCGGGCAGAGACTGGGTGGGAAGGAGCATGGCCTGTTCCTGACGAGCCGGGAGACCAAGTGGCTGAAGGGAGAGCATGCGGCTGGAGCAGATGTGGTCACCCTCGCCCCCCCCCCCCCGCTGACCTGTCTCACCCCGCCCTTAAAATACCTGGGCGGGATCAAGGTCAAAATGTGGTGAGGGCAGCAAGGATTAGGATGAGGGGTTAAAACTAGGGCTAGCTGGGGAATCCCCCGGGACCAGCAAGGCCCGCCCCACGGGGAGCCGGGCTCCGCGGCATGATGTAACCGAGCCCCTAGTTGGGGCCCGAGAGCCTCACCTGTGTCTCCTGGAGACCGGGCCTCCCCTTGTGCCTGGCGGTCACCACTGCCCTGCTGCCGCCCCCCACCTGAGGGGCCCAGGCTTGTCTCAAGGAAGAGGTGCTGGGCGTGGGCAGAAAGGTGCTGGCACACAGTAGGTGCCCCCTGAGTGCAGCCTGCAGCCCCGCCTCTCTCTGCACTTCTCGTGGGGCTCAGGCCGCCCTGGAGTCAGCTCCTTGACACGGGCCTCCCTCCCTGCCGAGGGTCCTGGAGCCCAGGCTGTACCCCAGGTGGCTGTGCTGGGCGCGTCCAGGCAAGGAAGGCTAAGTGGGCAGTCGGCGCCTCAGTCTCTCCATCTGCACGATGGGCACAGGCCAGCACCCGCCCTGGGGTCATAGTGAAGTGCTTGACCAGTGGCCTGCCCCGCTAGGAAGCACTAGACAAAATGGTGGAGGTGGGCACCTAAAGTGGGCTTCCGTCAGAACCCAGTGTCAATTCACCCAGAATCCCAGAACCGCGTTGCTCCCAGGACTCCGCCACCCCTCAAGGGCACACCACCTTCCGGTAGGGGACAGGGTGACCTTCCCGGTTTAGCACTGAGTCCCCATTCGGAAGCCCGTCCCAGTGACGTCGCCCCTCGTGCAGGCCACCCCGACCTCACGGTGCCCTCCCCACCCCTCCTGTGCTCTCAGACTGTATCGGCCGACCCCCAGGCTTGAGCCCCAGGAAGCAGGACAGCACAGACCCGGCGCTCAGTCACTGCTTCTGAATGAGGGTGAGCCCATGAGCAACGAACAGCCCAGGGGCCAGAGCCCGAACTCTCGCAGCATCACAGCCGTGCGAGACAGTCACAGAGCCGTCTTCACGAGACTGGTCTCCACCTGCTTCTCAAGAAACGAGGGAAGACAGGGCAGGTCACACCATCGAGCATGCCGTCAAGCTCCCACCGCACCCCTCCGCCCCTGCCCGCAAAGCCACGGGCCCGGGTCCTTCAGGCAGGTCATGACTGACGAGGAAAAGTGACACGGGCGGCACAGGAGGGCCAGGGAGTCCTCCAAACCTCAGAGGCCAAGAACCCCCTTTCCGTGACCCCACCACTGTCCTGTGTGTCGCCCAGTAGGGACAGCCCACTGGAGCAGGGGCTGAGTTCACTTCCCAAGTGCTCACCATGGAGCTCGATCCCAAGTCTCCTCTGAGCAAGGGCTGCGGCTCCGACTACGGGGGGGGCGGGGGCTGTGTGAGCAGGCATCGGACCGCCACAGACGCCTCCACGCTCCAGCTCTGCAGCCACCACTGCCCACCCTCCAATTCTGCTTTGGGGGGGAGGGCCAAGCCCCACCCACTGGACCCCCGAGATAGGGAGGCACTACAGGCTCCAGTCAGCCCCCAGACTGGTGGGACGGGAGCGGCCTCTGCTGGACAAAGCCACAGCCCAGCCCTGACCTCTGGACATTCACCGGGCGTCCGATGTGCCGGGCGCCCAGGCTCCACATCCTTACAGCAGCCCAGCAATAGGGCTGCCAGATTCAACGAGGACACGCACAGGACTCCATTAAATTTGAATCCCAGATAAGCGACACATCACTTGTTACCATAAGTATGTCCCAAATGTTATATGGGATATACTTACACTGAAATATCTGTCTACCTGTGATTCAAATCTAACTGGGTGCCCAGTATTTCATCCGGCAGCCCCATCCCAGAACCACAAGCCAGGAAAACAAGAACTGTGGGGACAGAAGTGTTGGCTAAACAGTGGGGTCGGGTCTGAACAGCCCAGTCCCACTCCAGAACCCAGGGTCCTGGGCCAGGGAGGCCGAGGCCCCAGCCCAGGACTGTCACCTGATTCCATGCCATGGAATCCTGGCATGTCCCCTGGGAAGGCCCCTCAAACCAAGTGCCCGGTATGGTTAGAACGTAGGTCACAAAAGAGCTCTACTCCCCCCTGTGTAGAGTGGAGAAAACCCTGGACAACCTGGGAAACAGTAATAGTAAAAGTACAACGACGCTTCTCTTTGTAAGAAGCCCATCCCAGAGGCTGTGCAGGTGTCCCCTACCACCGGGGACGGAACGGGGGACCTGGGTGTGGTGCGGTGCAGCTGGCGACTCTGCCCTCGGGTCTGGGATGGAAACGAGTGGACCTTCAGGAAGGCAGGGCCTGGCTCACCACCAAGACCCCTGAACCAGAAGTGGACGGCATGTCGCCTGCCGCTCCACTTTCAGGGCCTCTTTGTACACGACGTCCAGCGATAACGAACAGTACGGAAGGTTCCTGGTCAGCAGACAATGCCCCTGAGGGGAGCGACGGTCACTCTGCACCAGCTCAGGAGCCTCGGAGGCCCCTGCTACCTTGCAAGCAGATTTCCAGTCCCCGGGCCTAGAGGGACAGCCTCCTTCGCCTGGCCCTCCACTGCCCCATGACCCCACTGCTGATGCCACTCCTGTGGGCCCAGCTGCCACCCTTCCTGCCCACGTGCTCGGTGCTCCTGTCACTCCCCCCCCACCTGGAACGCCGGCCCCTCCCTGGGAGGCCTGTCCGACCACGTGAGGGGAGGAGGTGGCCCCCGCCCAGCCTATCTGAAGACCCCTCCTGCCCAGCCAGAGTTA